TGGGGGTGCGCGGGGCTCGGGCCCCGGAGTCGCCGCGAGAGGCTGGCGTTGGCTGCGTCCCGAGGTGCTGGAAGCGGCCGGGCGGGCGCCTCCCGGAAGAGGCCGGAGTTACCCGGGGTCCGGCGGAGAGGCAGCCCCTGGGGTCGCAGCAGTTGCTCCCGACATGCTCCTCTGGGGGAGGATTTCAAACCCTTGTCCACAACCACCCTCCTCCTTCCGCCCCGTCGGGCCCCAGCAACAGGCGGCGGCCCGCGTATCATTGGCCGGGCCTCGCAAAGGCGTGTTTTGATTGGCCGTCGCGCTTCCCGGCCCCGCTTCGGCGTTCGCCGCCGCCTCCATTTTGTCGGTAGAGGCAGCAGGAGGAGGTCGATCTGGACTCTGCGGTGGCCAGCAGCTATCTCGTCGGTGCTTGTGGGCTTCGCTCATTCCTGCCTCGTCGCTCCCTGGAAGGGGAGGGGGGCTTCGACGCCGAGCAGGAGTCGCCGCCACCGAGGTCCCGAGCTCGAAGTCGGTGAGTGGCGGCGGCGCCGCGGGCGCGGCCATGTTGGCGGCCGCGCTCCCCATTGTTGGGGGAAGGAGGCGAGATCGGGAAGCCGGGCTGGCGCGGGCGGCCCGGAGGCAGCCGCTCGGGAGCCGCTCGGAAGCCCAGCCCCGTCAGAAGAACTGAACATTCGGGTTCGCGTAGGGAATGACTCACGATCCGGGAACTCATTTCTTTAAGGCTGTTAAAATAGTCTCGAAGGGCCTCTCACCCTTTCGAAAAGAGGAGTTATTATTTCTTTGGTAACTTGGTTTCTTGGAATGTCAGGTGAAATCGTGAATGTTTAATGTTCACGATAGAGAAGCATTTTTATATATTTAAGTGGGAAACTGACTTCGGTTGTTACGGCTTTTGGAACTTATTTTAAAACGGGGAGGAGTCAAGAGTTCGTAACTAAAGGAAACACTTTGCATGACGTAAACATGTTGGGAGACTAGACTTTGTGAAAACGGATACGTGATGTGTCAAAAGATTAGGAAATTCTGGAGGGACTTTTAAAACACACTCTCTTGAGAAAACGAATTTTAAGCCCATTTCTTGGCATGGCTGTCAAGGTGAACGCTTACATGGTTTGAATTAATGTTTTGGTCACAAAATCCGTGTGAGAACCTGAAAGGTCCCTAGGAAAAAGATACAACTTGTTGCGTGATTTGGCAGACACCCTCCCCCCCGCCCCCAATTCCTCAGGAGTTCCTGGATCTCAAGGCTTAGAAGAGTTCTTAAATGACAGTTTAGAGGTCAAAGTCATCCTTAGAGCCATTATTATCTGCCTTTTTAGTTTAGGAAGTAGCCATTCTGTATTTCTGTAGTAAATATAAACGATCACTTTATTCCATGTTTTGAATTGAAATAATGAAAAAAATCTTTGGTTTTCTAGCTAGGACTTCTCTTAAGTTTGTGTGCTGAGGAGACTCAGATGTTGGCCTCAGCTCCTAGGCTGAACTCAGCAGATCGGCCCATGAAAACTTCTGTATTGAGACAAAGGAAAGGATCTGTCAGAAAGCAACATCGGTTATCCTGGGCTTGGCAGCAAGGAAGAGGACAGGTAGTGGAAATCCTGCAATCTGAAAAGCAGACTGAAAGGTATAAACTTCATTTGTAATGGGGCAGACATTTTGTGATGGACTTAGCCAACTTAATTGTTTTTATTTTTAAATAGAGGATTATTCAGATTTATGGGTAAGCTCATTTTCTTAGGAAGGCTGTGCATGTGATGAAGTGTGAACATTATAATGAAGTTAAAGCAGCTGCATAGCACCTATTTGAATCATCCTCAAGATTTCTGGAGTTTCAGATTGAGGCCATTGAAGTTAAAGTTTTGAACAAAACTGTCTTAAGTGGAATTTTACTCAGTATTTTGTTTCCATTCACTTACAGGTGACAAAGAAGCTGAAGATGGGTGGCGGAGAGAGGTATAACATTCCAGCCCCTCAATCTCGAAATGTTAGTAAGAACCAACAACAGCTTAACAGACAGAAGACCAAGGATCAGAATTCTCAGATGAAGATTGTTCATAAGAAAAAGGAAAGAGGACATACTTATAATTCATCAGCAGCTGCATGGCAAGCCATGCAAAATGGGGGAAAGAACAAAAGTTTTCCAAATAATCAAAACTGGAACTCTAGTTTATCAAGTCCCACCTTACTTTTTAAGTCTCAGACTAATCAAAACTATGCTGGAGCCAAATTTAGTGAGCCACCATCACCAAGTGTTCTTCCTAAACCACCAAGCCACTGGGTTCCTGTTTCCTTTAATCCTTCTGATAAAGAAATAATGACATTTCAACTTAAAACCTTACTCAAAGTACAAGTATAAAATAAGAAAGTACTAATGTTTAAATTTAGTCATATTTAAGGATAATTGGCAATTGTTTCAGACCAAATTCACTTGGGAATTTATCTGTAAAACTGTTAATTAATGTAGAAAATTAGACTTCACCTTTATGTGTCATGTGCACTATGATGTAACAGTAGAATCACTGCAACTTAAGATAACTGAATTATTGATAATTGTTCTTGGTATCAATACTAAGTGTTCTCAGTTGAGTAACCAAGTGAAACCATTCAAGTTTAGATTTGGAGAATGGTAAAGGAATCAACTTTTTCTATTGCTTGTTGGGGAAAAATACTAATTTAATATTATTCATGGAACAGTATATTTAGTTGTTGAAAGCTGGTGAATCTGATAATAAGCATCCAGTTAAGACATACCAGGGTTGAAAACTAGTTGAATATTTGAAAGTTTAGAAACACCCAAACCAGTAATATGCCAACAACCTGATGCACTGCCAAGAGAAAATGTGAATTTTCTTTAGAGAATAGTCGTGGTTTAGTGAACTGTATGGTGGTGAATGTGGAAAGGACACTAGGGGCTATTTAGAATGAGAGTATACCCCCTTGGCCCCATTTCTGACATGCAGCGGGACAGGTGTCTGCCAACAAATGCACCGAAACTATTTTTTTTATAGAAACAGTATTTGGTGTTTACCGAGTAGCTTTCAAAATACATTTTTGTATTAAGGCACTGCGCAAGCTATTCTGACAGTGATGTGGCTTCAGATCCCTGCAAAAGCGTGTTTAAAGTGGGGAGCTGTATAATGTGAAAGTTTTAAGTACATAGGAAAGAGCTATGTAAATATATGTAATAAACTTGTAGCATATGTAAAGTTTTGTTGGCATTTATCCTACAAAAATAGAGTATTTTAGTATGAATTTGCTGAATATGAGACGGACTCTTTTTATACTATGGCCTAATTTTAAAGGTCCAAAATAACTTGTTTTTAAAGTTTGCCCTTGTGCTAAAGTGCCAGTGTATGTATGTTATCATTGATCTTGCTGTAAACTATATTTCAAAGCAAATCCTAGTGTAAAGTTTTATATAACCGAAAAGGTTTTAAGCTGCTAAAACATTTCCTATTTTTAAGAGATGTGAAATGCAGTATGAGATTACTATTTTTTTTCTTAAGCTCAAAGGTCAACTAATTAAGAGGGTTCTCCAACCTTAAAAGATTCATTTTGGCTTTCAACAATTTGTGTAACCTGTGAGTACAGTGTACAATGACCGTACCGTGATTTTTTCATCAGGGATGCAACCCAGGGGACCACTTGTTGCAAAAGATGTAATTTCTTGCATAGTACCTTGATAACATGCTTTGCCTACCTTAAAGATAAATGCTAATTATAACAGCTAACCGAATAGTAAATTAAAAGTGTGTGTGGGGGGAATCTGTTTAAAATTTGAATGTAGGTCGGTCCCTATTACCTAATTTGGCAGCTTTTTTTTTTTTTGTATTTTTAAGCAGAATGGCTAAGTTGTATTTCTCCAAATAAATTCAGGTGAGATAAAACGTCCCAAATCCTAAAGTTTATATAGTACTTAATGTACATATATGAATTTGAAGTGTGAAATTAAAAAATAAAATTGCTTTTTCCCCAGTGGCTTGCTTTTATTGATAAAAACTGTTACAACTAATATTCTCATAGCATGCACATAATTAGCCCAACTGAAATACAACAGGACTGTGGGTTTTAAGAGGCAACCGGTTTGCTTACTAACATTTGGATTAATTCAGCAGCTATACAATAGAAAAAGGCAACTAGCTGTGACTTCCTCCCAGCAGGGCTTAACAGTTAAGTGGCTATAGAATACTTTGGAAACTTACATGAAGTTTCTGAATTCATTTGATAAAATTGAGTAAAGCAGATTTGTGTCTCCCTTTTTACTACATTCTGATTTAGGTTTATAGAAAAAAAAACAGCACAGAAGAATTCCTCAAGTTGACAGGAACCCTTGTGTTTTACTACTTGTTGATACATAAAGGTACAATTTTCACAAGGGGACATGTGGTAAAAGTCACAAGAATTACACTGGCTTTCTAAAATAGGTTCCAAATGATAGGGTAGCTTAAACTTGTTCAATAATCCTTTTTAGAGTTCCACACTAATTAGGCAATGAATCCCAAGCTGTATCTTCTCATGCAAATGAAGTAAGTGACTTGCAAGAAATCAGTATTTGAGCTCATTTTTTTCCTGGTGTATTCCCAGTGTATTTTCTATTACCAGTGCCAAGCATTGCCATGTTTTCTGTACTGCACTGGAATTTGACTAGATTGAACAGTCCTCATCCCGGGCATCTTTTGTTAGTTTACGTATACTAAAAGATATATTAGATTTTTGCTTTGGGGTTGATTCAAGTGATAAAAGGGTTCAGAGAAGGAAATAAGTAAAATTTTAATGGCTATGGGTACGTAAAAAGTTAATGGTCATAACATCTCATACCTTAAAAAGGTACTAATAAAGTTACAGCCTACAGGAAGGATGGTGATAGAATTCCCACATCTTTGTTAAGAATGAAAAAGTTGTTAGAACTCACTTAATCCTGTAGGGCTAGTTGGCCATAGTGTGAACTTAGTGTTTTAATTTAAATGTCGTATCTTTTTGATGGCAGTATATATAGTATGATGGAATCTTGAGTCCATAACCTATCCTTACACTTAAGTTCTCTTCATCCCAAAAGAAAGCACAAGGTGGAAAAAAACTCCTGTTAAGTTTTCTAGTGTTTAATTGTATTCTCATAGGCAATTACTTTGTAGAACAACTGGGACAGAGTACATCTCAAACCTCTTATACAATTATGGAAAGCCTACCCAGTCACAAATCTGTAAGGCAGAGCTAACCCTAAAAAAAAACCCCAAAATAACTAGCATTCGAAGAGATGTGATCTACAAAAACCAAAAAACCAACTAGACATAAAGTCCTTTTACTTTACAAACTACTCTGTCAGTTACCAACAAAATGAATTTACATGCCTTGCTTTTTATTGTAAATAAAAAAATCCCATCTTTAATATATGGGTGAAACAACTGTTAGGAATACATATAAACAATGCAATGAACATAACCAACACTGTTGGAGGGGGCAAAGGAAAAAAAAACCAAGGAGCCTTTTCCATAGGAGCTAGCTATGTCTTATAGGTGTCAGTAGTTGAAGATAAACAGGTTGTTTACTTCATTTATCAATGAGAACAGTTTATGCCTGGGACTCCTAGAAGCTCTGATAGACCTCCTAGTTGAACACTTGAGATTATTCCTGAGCTAGCACTGTGCTGTCTCAGGTCACAGCCTCCCCACTTCAGAGTATCTCAGGACTTTGTAAACAGGAATATGATCAAGATGCAATGCAGTGAGACTAAAAATTGGAAAGCCAGGCTAGAAAAGTGCCTGAGTCACAACAGCTGTGAGAAACTGTATTACATTTAACCTCTCCTTTTCATCCAGTAAAATTACAAACAAAACTTTGTAATTAAATTTTTATAAATCGATTAAATCTTCCAAATGAACTCAAGATTCTCTTATATTAATTGTATTAAGTTATAAAAAAATTCCCCATTTGATTAAAATAAAAAAAAAGGCAGAATAGAAGCAAAGATGAACCAAATGAAAAACCACGGACACTAATCTAGTATCTGCCACTTACTTGCTGTGTGATCTTGGGCCAGTTTGAAAATTAAAAAAATAAAACAGGTAAAAATACCTTCATTTCTCCCTTAGGTGTATTCTGCTGTATTTTCAAAATCTTTATCAAAGGCTTAACCACTTCCATATTTTTAGGTAACTTTACACAAAGTCTTAAGTGTGGTAGAAACAGGACAAAAAAAATTTGCAAGTGATGGAATCAATGTACAGGTAAACTTCATATCCTAATAAGGAACTAAGGAATCCAAAACATTTTGTGATACTATAAAAGTTATTTATTCACTATACACAGAACATGTCCCCTATAAAATGTACATGTAAATCACTAAAAAGTATAATTTGGTGAACATTTTCTCAATTACAGAACAAACTAAATCAGTTGGGATAACAGCTCTCTGTCTGCCTCAAAGTAATCTAATTATAGCACCCAGTCTCCTTTATATCTGATGCAAAGTTAAATACTTATTTTTGGGATTATCTCCTAATGTGTTTGAGGAGGCAGTTAACAATTTAATATAACTCTAGTATATTACAGTCACTGCACAATAAATCATTTATTACAGATTAACATCATTTTTTTCATTATTTGTATTAATGGGATGCAAACAAATACTGAAATACTTTTAAATGGCAAATAACCACAAAATTACTTATCTTTGATAGTATATTGGGTTTTATAATTACACAGGATAAAATGGTGTAAAGTATTGTTATGAATAATACACCTCAAACAAAACAAGGAGGCCATACTGTATTGATTCACTAGATTGTGCTCAGTAGACATTTATTGAATAAATGAATTTTATCTGTTTTTCTCCCCAATTACCCAGTACAATTTTTGCCCACAGTAAGGGCTCAGTAAATGTTTGCTGAATATACTAACTAGGAAAGAGGTGAGAAGAGATGGACCCTCTTAGCTGGATGTGAAGTATTATAATTGGAATTTACAGGGGAGAGTGTTTAAGGAAGGTGTAAACTGCATGTGGCATACAAGTAAATAAACTCAGATGCCAACAAAGCAAACCATTACGCAGAAAACACTGGCACTGGAACGAACAAAGGCAAGATTTGCCAATAGCAAAAACACAACTGACTTTAAGAAAAACTTTATATTGGACCATACCTTTTCTCACCCAATTCAGCTTGAGACAGACCAATAGAGGCACTGTAAGAGACTATGGCTGTCTTCCTTGATATTCAGACATCCTAGTTTCCAATAATTTAACATGGACCTGTTACCCATAAATCAATATAAACCTATGCAGACTTAGGGATTAGTTTCCACAAGTACAAAGTTGAATTTCCTTTTATTTGTCCTAAAATGCTTACTTTCAAACTTGAAGGGACTTCAATTATTCCATGTAGTTTCGATAACATTCTTTTATCTTTTCAGACCAGAGTCAAAATATTCGTACAGTATTCATACTGCAGCACCTTCCACCCACCCTTTGGTCGCTTGAACTGCCCTTCTTTGGTTCTTTTTCCGCTTTCTCAGATCTTTCTTGAAGTGTAGTAAGCAGAACTGTACTGGGTATTCCAGCTGCAGTTTGGTCTTAAATAAAAGAAGGATGTTTGTCAGTTTGGTTTTCTTTATTCTTCTCTGTGGTATACAGGATTTTGTTAGTTGAACTGGATGTAGCAGCTTACAGGGCCAAAATTTCAAGAGAATAGTATAAAAGTTCCCAGGTCTTTTCCCTGGGTTGTAACTTAACAGCTCATACTCTATGTAGCACCTTTCCTTTCTCACTGAAGCATTATCTGTCATTTTTCTTCTTGCTTACTTGGCTTCAAAAAAAAAAATGCAGAGAGATCTTAAGTAAAGAGAGGTGAAGTGTCAGCCCTCGCTTGAGTCTCGATATGTCCTACTCTAATATTGAGCACAGTGCCAGACACAGTAGAAACTGAGTAATTGTACAACTCAACTATGTAACCCCAAATTAAAGCCCTGTGTAAGGATCCTCATCAAGTAACAGCAGGATCCCAACTATCATAGGTTCAACTATGAACAGTCCCTCTGAAGCTGTCAGTACGTCACTTGAGAAATAATATATAAGGTTCTCAAGAAAATAATCTGAGTCTAAAAATAAGTGACAAGTAAAAACAATGAAAACATCAGGCCTTAATTCTATACAGAGAATGTGAACAATTTCAATAGGCTATTTCCTCAATCTACTGTAACTATAGCTCATTTAAAAAAACCATCTTAAGGATCAGGCCTGGGCCCAAATTGTGGATCTGCCTTTTACAGTTTTTTGTGTCTCAATTTCCTTATTATCTGTGACATGGAGGAAATAAAAGTATCTTTCTCAGAGGGTCTTGTAACGAGCAAATGAGCTAACACATAAAGCTTTTAGAAGTGTCTGGCACATCACAAATACTCAATAAATATTAGCTATACTTGTCATTATAAAGTAGCTAGGACTCAACCACAAAACACCTAAACCAGTTCCCCAAAGTGACTATCACTTAATACTAACTGCTCACCAACATTCAATACAAAAATACTTTAAAACATGCCACAAACATAAGGCCCAATCCATCTTGTTTAGGATGGGGAAGAGCAGCATTATTGGTCCATCCAATAATGAAAATATAAACTTACAATCAGCTGACTCAAATTTCACTTTAATGTGTATCTTAACACTATCAATAACCTCTAAGTTATTTAACCCAAGGGGCTTAATAAGCAATCATGAAACAACTTTGACATTACATAGGAATTTTTAAGTACTATGTAAAAGATGTATCTTTCTGGCAAGTTCTATCATTTCCAAAGTAAAAGTTGTGCCTAGTGCAACACTGAGTAAAAATATTACTAAGTCTACAAAGGACTGTTTCCATTATTATTTTAGAATCTCATCCAAAACTATAATAATTCCAGTTAATCATTATTTCCTTCATTTTGTTTTTATTATAGCATGTTTGCTTAATTTACAGCAAGCAGAAAATAAGCTGGGTCTTGTTTTGATCCAAACATCGATGTTTTAAAGGTTGTACACAATATTTGTTAAAAAGAACATATAAAAATACCTTTTTAGAAGCTTCTATAAGAAAGAAAATACAAAGTTTAACCCCACAACTTTCCTCTTTGCTAGAACTGCAAACTACTGCTACAGTTTTAAATAGACTTTTTGTTGTTTAAACTATACATCCAGGAAAATCTAAAAAAATTAAAGAAACGTGCATATAAATGATTGCATAGCAGAACATGAACATTAACTGCAAACAGTAAAGAAAAGAAAGTTAGAAATACTATCAAATATACAAAGGTTCTAGAGTCAATCCTTTAAACACATTCCACAAACAGTATTTAAAAACCATCTTTTGTTCTTTACAGGCAAGGCCTAGATTACTAAAACCAAAATTGAAAAAAGTAATCCTCTAAAAAGGAATCGTTTCCTCACAACATCTCTTACTTATACCTGTAAGCAAGCAATCTAAAAATTTTAAAGATGCTAGCTTTTATTCTGAAATGAGACTGGACACGTCAAGTCACTTTTATTGCCCCCAAACTGATCTCTCAGAGAAATGCTAGAAATTATAAATTGTTAGGGTGTTATTTTTTTATTTTCATCAGGTACTACCAGGTACTACACTGATAAATCAAGAACTCAAGAGATGTGAGACTTTCTTAAAATTAATTTTTTTCCAAATTATTTTAAATTTCATGGCACCACAGAATCACTTAGGATGGGAGTGTTTGTTGTCTTTCAACTTGCCTCACATTAAATAAACTGAGGTGTGGACAAGCCTTCTTCATAAAGAGATGGGTAAATTTTGATACCAATGCACGCATGTAAGTGCTATAAGCATCAAAATTCCGTCTTTTTACTCTATGCATACACACAAACAAATCCTACTTTGAAACAATTTACTTGCTTTTAACAGCAGTAAGAAAACTAAGGATTATGGTCAACAATGCTCCTTAAAGTTTAGATTAACTACATAAGAGCATTCTTTTCCCCTTAAAATTACTTCTGCCATCACAACCTGCCCAAATTTTAAGGTGAGTTTTTCCAACGTTTGTATGTTCCAAATCTTCACAGAAACAAGAAAAAAGCAGTGAAGGCTCCATGTTTCAGTCAAAAACTCAACCTCCCTGAAAATGCTACTTAACCTAGTTGGCATCATTCCCCAAGACAGTGAGGTTAACAGAAGAACTATTCCACACTGTGCCATAAATTACTGTCACGGGCCTAGACATCTTGACAAGA